ATCTATATATGTATAACCTTTTAAGAATGACATGTTGCCAGACTATCTATGTAAATAAATAAATTAATAACTTCTTTATATGGATTCTGATCCACATAAAATTACCATAATTTATTTTATAAAGGGTGAGCAATACAAGGATATATCTTATCTACATTTTTCTGGTGTGATCACAACTAAATCCTACTTTAAGAAAGACAACTCAAAACTAACAACTTGGTCATCTAACTATCAAAACTGCTAATTAATGTGATAGCTCACTTCAATTTAAATTATTATACTTATCTTGAATCACTAAGAGATGTCTTTCATAAATTTCGAAATTAACCTCAAATTTTATGTTTAGGTAAGGATAGAAATATTTAAGATAATCCAACATCTAATGCAAACCTTAAGTTTATGACTCAATAATAAATTTTGCTACTATGGAGTTAGCATATAATGATAAGAGACTAAAGAAAAAAGATGTCAAGATAGAATGTAATTTAGAACTTGGCAAGTGACCTAATAGGTGTCTGGGATCCTGATTTTCTAGTTCTTCTTTCTTTTCTTTCTTTCTTTTTTTTAACTTTTAACATCATAATAACATAGATGGGTAACTTCATTTCCAGTCTCTTTGCTTTAATTTTCCACACTGTCTTTTTTCTAGCCTTATAAAGGCTATAGATACATGCCATTATTAAGGGGAACCGAGAACAAAATTCAAAGCTTCTCATTTTTGCCCAGCGTTTTTATAACTAAGTTTTTACCTTATATATAATTAATCAGAATCTTTAATTTATGTTCACATAAAAAATGACATTTTTCCATCAAGATTCCTTAGAGGCAGCACATAGGTGGGTCTTGCCTTTTTAGCTAATCTGTTAATCTGTTAAAGCCTTTTAACTAGGGTTTTTAGACCTTTTATATTTAATGTGATTATTGATATGGTCTGGTTTAATACTTCAATCTTGCTATGAATATTTTAAGTAGGAAAGTGACATGACCTGGATTATGTTTTAAGAAATAATTATAGCTACTGCATTGAACATGCGTTAGATTGGGCCAGGAATGGAAGGGGGTGGCCAGTTAGGAGGATATTCTAATAGTCCAGATGAGAGATGATGGTACCCTAGAATACAGTGGTAGCAGCAGAGACAGAAGTAGAGATGGGTTTAGGTTATATTTTCATGATAGAGTTGACAATTTTTATGACAATAATGGAAAAAAGTAAATTATTAGTTCTTCAGTCATCTTTTATTTTATAAAATAAATCAAAGTATAAAATTAACAAAGATACAAAGCCAGATTAATTTTTTGAGTTAAATAACCAATGGCCCTTTACTTCTGAAAAACCTTACTCCTATGAAAAACTGTAAAATACTTACATTTCTTTCTACTTCAATTACTCGACTTTGGACTTTGAGAAGCTCTCTAGTTGTTTCTTGATTTTCTCGTTCCCATTTGTTATCTTCACCAGAAGTTGGAGGAGAGGTCTGTACCATCCTTTCCTCATCTTGTCTCTGTTTGAGAGCTTCGTAATTCTTTTTCACCTAAAATTTTATTTAAAATATTTTAATTTTTAATGGGAAATTTTAACAGGGTGAAAATAAAATCAACAAAGTTATATTTCTCAAAGTTAATTTAACTCTGCAATGGTCTAGTGAATGTGAGATACACTTTATATAAAAATGTGATAAGTAATATGTACAATTATCATAATCACCATTAATGCTTTGTAAAATATAAATCATTTTCTCCTAGAAATATTAAATATTCTCTGCTTATGTGCCATAGTCCAATTTTTATAAATTTCAGATCTTATTGTTTATGATGAAAATACCACTGAAGAATAGATTAACTGGATGTAGACATGTTGCTGAATACTAACAATCGTTTTTAGAACTATATAGCTGATTAGAGATTTCAGAGATCCCCATGTAAAGAACAAATGAAGACGACTCATATAAGAATTCTCCTTAAGAAGATATCTAAAGTAGAGGAGGTATCTATATATGTATAACCTTTTAAGAATGACATGTTGCCAGACTATCTATGTAAATAAATAAATTAATAACTTCTTTATATGGATTCTGATCCACATAAAATTACCATAATTTATTTTATAAAGGGTGAGCAATACAAGGATATATCTTATCTACATTTTTCTGGTGTGATCACAACTAAATCCTACTTTAAGAAAGACAACTCAAAACTAACAACTTGGTCATCTAACTATCAAAACTGCTAATTAATGTGATAGCTCACTTCAATTTAAATTATTATACTTATCTTGAATCACTAAGAGATGTCTTTCATAAATTTCGAAATTAACCTCAAATTTTATGTTTAGGTAAGGATAGAAATATTTAAGATAATCCAACATCTAATGCAAACCTTAAGTTTATGACTCAATAATAAATTTTGCTACTATGGAGTTAGCATATAATGATAAGAGACTAAAGAAAAAAGATGTCAAGATAGAATGTAATTTAGAACTTGGCAAGTGACCTAATAGGTGTCTGGGATCCTGATTTTCTAGTTCTTCTTTCTTTTCTTTCTTTCTTTTTTTTAACTTTTAACATCATAATAACATAGATGGGTAACTTCATTTCCAGTCTCTTTGCTTTAATTTTCCACACCGTCTTTTTTCTAGCCTTATAAAGGCTATAGATACATGCCATTATTAAGGGGAACCGGGAACAAAATTCAAAGCTTCTCATTTTTGCCCAGCGTTTTTATAACTAAGTTTTTACCTTATATATAATTGATCAGAATCTTTAATTTATGTTCACATAAAAAATGACATTTTTCCATCAAGATTCCTTAGAGGCAGCACATAGGTGGGTCTTGCCTTTTTAGCTAATCTGTTAATCTGTTAAAGCCTTTTAACTAGGGTTTTTAGACCTTTTATATTTAATGTGATTATTGATATGGTCTGGTTTAATACTTCAATCTTGCTCTTTGTTTTCTATTTGTCCAATCTGTATTTGTTCCCCCTTTTTTCTTTTTCTGCCTTCTTTTGGATTTTTTTTATAATTCAGGTTTATTTCCTTCACTGGCATATTAGCTATATCTCTTTGTCATGCTATTTTAGTGGTTATTTTGGGCTTTATACTCATATTTAACTTTCACAGTCTATATTCAAGTGATATACCTCTTCACGTATAGTATTAAAAGTTAAAACAGTGTAATTCCAGTTGAATACCTATTTAGGGCAGAAAGCTAGTCCAATAATAGTTATGTCAAAATGGTTAGAAGTGGAAGATTGAGATGGAATTTTAAATATCTCCGTGTTAGATTTGAAATACACTTATACCAAATCATACCCCAAACCACTTATTTTCTGGCTGAGTAGCTTCATGAAATTGACTTTAGTTGTAAGCTTTTTACCCTATTAAATGATAATGTTTAATAGGATAAATAAAAAGTTCAGGAAGTAAAGCAGATTAATTATTTTTCAGTTAACTAAGCAAAGTCCTAGAATTTCTTCTGTTAACAATGTATGTTCTATGGTAATGTCTAAAACAAATACCAGCAATGGTAGTATGGGCAAATGGGGAACAAAATATTTTTCTCTTTCTGCATGAGAAATTCATCTTTGGGTAACTGTTTCTCTGCAAACCTGATAAAACTGAAATGTTCTATGTTACCAGACAAGATGGCTTTTGAGAAAAATGACCCCTGACTGGTAAACTGTATTTGGACTAAGAGAACTATGAATACATAATATGAAGTGGTAACTTTGACTGTTTCTGAGTATAGCAACTCTTAAAATTGGTATATCCACTGTGGAGATCCTAAATCAATGATGACTGCTGTAGAATATGAAATCTCAAAACCAGAGCAACCCCTGAACACACCCAATGTGAATCTGATATTCTTACACCTAAACTGTCATCTGGTGGGAAAATGACTCTCAGATGACTATATGAAGAGGGACACCTGACAGTGCCCTGCTATCTACTTGTATTTCCTATCGTTGTGAATCAAATGGTTTTAAATGTCAGTCTGAATGTTTAGTTGACTACAAAAGCACTACAGAGATGGTAATAATTCTACCAATCTATCATATATAACCCTATGGAGTGGGCAAGCCCCTTCATTTTCAAATTATTCATGTAGAGGAACTAGGCAGTTGCCCCTGCCTTGCTTACTTTACCTCATAATTCCAAAATATCATAAGAAAGCAGATCTAGGAAAGACCTCAAGGATGCCTTTAAGAGATCAGGTGCTTTCTTATATCACAGATAATTGTTTCCCTCTCCTCCTCACACCCATATCTCTGCCTATCAAATTTGATCTGGATTCTCAATAGAAAAATTGTCAGAATGAAGTATCAGTACCATACTGATAGCTTTTCCCCACAAAATAAATGACTGCCTCTTCACCATCTACTCCTACAATTCTGGTATGTACCTAATTGCATGGGGGACATACACACATGAAATAGGGTTGAATAAATTATAGCATATAAGTAAACAAAATAGTTTGTCATAAACAATGTAACAAAGATCTGTTTAAGAATATTCTAAAATTTGAGAAAGGAATACACAAAATACTAATGAATAATATTGCATTGTAACTTTCTACTTTACACTTCTCCATCCAAATATTTGACAATTAGAATTTTTTACAAGGAAATCACATACTGTTTTAAGTTCTTGGCGCAACTGCTGGTTATAATTTGTGGATTCTTCTAATTGAGCTTCTAAAGCAGCAATTTTTTCTTCTTTTATTTCAAGGGACTTCTTTAGAGTGGATTCTAGTTTTGATTCCAGAAGTTTGTACCTATTATCCAAGTATAAAAATAATAACAGTTCATCATTGGAAATCAAAAAATTATTTTTAAAGGTAATTTTTGACCATGGATACAGATACCATAAATATGTCTAGAGGGAAATTAAATTATCCTCCTCTTACTGATTCACTCCCTCTTTTAAAATTATTCTTAGTCATGAACAAACAGAATCACTGAGTAGACAAAGCTCCCGACTATACTCTAGTTTGTCAAAAGCAAAAATTAATGTTCAAAAAAAGCATTTTGAAGCTCTAAGTCTCAAAATATTGTTTAGTTTTACTAGAATCTACAGAAAGAAGAAATGGATGGGTGTATTATACATCACTTGTTTATGATATTAATGTATAAAGTATTTATAGAAGGACATACAATAGCTAACACTTAAAACTTCATTGGTTTTTAGGGTATAGAGTAATTGCAGGATATTTAAAAAGGGAAATAATACACTTAAGACACAGGATTGCTGATGACAGAGTGGGAAGAGGCAGATAGATATGAATGTCAATATTGTGCTTATCTTTTTGACTGGTAGGTTTATGCATTTTATTCTTAATTTTTTTTACAATAAGGATGATGCATGAATACAATTTGAGAATGAATCATAAACTAGGGATTATTATTAATCTGTTTCTTATACCTGAGAACCCCAATGACTAATCCAAATAAAAACTATCCTAAAAGAATATGTATGAGAAATTTTTATCACATTCTTTTACTGTAATTAATGTGTATGTATGTATTTTCTGCTCAAACAGATTTTAAGCTCATTGAGAATAGAGAACAAATCTCCCTCATTTTGGTATTGCTTTGAGTAACCAAACATTTTTAAAGCATTTAATGTGTCTGACTGGAAGTTGATTTATAATGCCTCAGTTGCTTCTGTACCATTCAGATAGAGATGTCCAGTAAACAGCAAATAATATGGGTACAGGGGAGATGAATGGAAATGCTCAGCATATAGAATGAATAGATAATAGGCCTGAGAACATACCAAAGAAAATACACAGGGAGAGTTGTTCAAAGAGAAAGACAAGAATAATCTCATAGCACTCTGTAATTCTACAACTTATATTGTTGCATTCATCTATTTAGATATTCAGTTCCAGAGCTAGACTATATATTCCTTGATGACAAGGATAAATATCTTAATAGCAATTGTATCTTCAAAGAAAAGTCAGAAGGAATGACAACAATTTGAAGATGAGAAGGTTAGACTAACAAAGGAATTAAGGACACCATCTGAGACTAAAGGTACAGACAGATGCAGGTATATATAAATTCCAAGATGGAGTGGATGGAATGTTAAAGGAATTTATGTCTGTTCTTTGTGACATTAAGGCTAATTTACTGGCTGAGAAAGAAGCTGGCTTAGTGGCTTAAGATGTTTCTTTTCTTGATCCCCCAAAGTCAATCATAGTTATTAACTGCTCTCAAGTTCATATCCAAAAGTTTTCATTGAATATATACTCTTATCTCCATGGCTAATGCTTCCATTATATAAATAATGTGGATTAATTAATGTATCACATCTTCCCTAGAATATTACAATAGCTTCCTAACTGGTCTCTGTGTCTCCAAATTTGTCCCTTTTCTAATCCATCTTTCATATTACTCTGAGAATTGCTCAACATATCTTTGTACAGTATTTGAATGAATGCCTTTACCCACTGTTTCTACCTTGCAAATTTCTATCATTCTTCAGAGTTCAGCTGAAGCATTATCATTTCTTTGATGCTTGATGATTAGAAGATAATAACTCAATTAACACTGAGTAATTATAAGAATGAAGGTTTGGGAAGAGGGGCCAAACAGTATGGAGGGCCCACTATAGCTGGATTCACAAATTTATAACAGGGCCAGTTAGGATAGCTACATAGTTTACCTTTGTCTTTTTTTTCCTGTACTTTTTAAATGTCTTACATATAGCAGGTAATAAATCTGTTTGAATAAAGAAATGATGTATATTCAGTATCTATATTAAAAGATAGTCAGGCAAATTGGCCCTTAACTATCTGTACTCAAATAAAAAATACTTACTCATGAAATATCTATATAATTAATTCAGGCTGCTTGAATTGATTGCTAGTATAAGTGCCTCAAATTACTTCTATTTGTTATCATAGAACTAACCTTAACAAATATCAATATCTATTAACTTTGAATATTTTCAAAATGACATAAACAAATACCATGTAATCAATTAGCTTTTCCTATATATGCATTTATTTAATACAGAATAAAATACTCACTAGAACTAATGATGGGTAGATAATATACAAATTATGTAATCATAAAAATCCCAATGAACAAAAATCTAGTTTACCTAAAACAATATTCTTAATAATACAAACTTCTAGCTGTAATCAAAGGCCAAGAGATGTTCAATAGTAGACTCTTTGAAAATCCAATTAACTGTTTGATAGACTGTAATTACAATGGGAGAATAGAAATTTTCTGTAAGCCTGCATTGATCATTCTTAAAATTATAGGGCACATAAGATAAAATGTTACCTGTTCGTTAAGCCTTAGTTTTTCATGTTATTTTTATATCTTAGCTGCTTCTCAATATATTTTCTTTTCCTTTATTTCTCTTTATGTGCATTTGTTGTTAACGTCTCATTCTACTTCACAAGCAATTACAGCCTCTAGTATTCTGCTACCTGGGTAGCACCCTGTTCTCCTATTATAGCAATGTATATATATAATAACATTTCAGCAATTTTTCTTTTATCAATATTAGATTGTCTTTATCTGATTTTTTACTTTTTTTCTCATCGAAATTTCTTAAATGGGAGAAAGGAATCAGAAATAGGGTGATATACATAAATGTATGCTGTAGCTCATACAGGAAAGAATCAATGTTTCAGAAAAAAACTTCAACTGTTTGCCAAATAGACATAATACTCACCTGTCATCAGTACTTTGCTCATCATGTAAGAGTCTCTCTTTATTTAACCCTATTTTCTCAAGCTCATGAGTTAATTTTTCAAGATCATTATTCATTTGTTGATTCTTCAATTTTTCATTCACCAAATCCTTATTTTAAAAGGAAAGAAAACTCATTTAAGTGTCATGAACATAGACATCTAAGAAATTCAGCCAAGATTCTAACTGCTACCATCCAGGAATACATATATTTCAAACCAAAACAGACAGAAATGTTGTTGTTGAACTTTTCCTTTATCATTAAAAAGCAGTTAAGCAACAAATAAAAACTAATTTAAACAGCATTGTTTTTTTTTTTTGCTAATACTTCTTTTTAACTTTATAGTGTTCAAACTAAAAGGTGAAATTCTTTACTTGTGAATACATACCTTAGGTTTGAGAACTCAGGGAAAAAGTACACACATCCATTCACTTTTTAATAATGAGCTAGAACTTTAGTGCGTATTTCTTCTTATGAATGTATGTTGGATACAACACTCACTCCCACCCCAAAAACCTCTGTCCCAATGGAAAAAGCTTAAGATATTCATCTGAAGAACTAGGGGGCATTCTTAGAAGTTCAGGCATAAGAACCTGATGTCTATGTCTATTATACTGTAGAACACAGAATAAAACAAAAGGCTAATAGTGGTCCCTCTCAATGCCTCTTCAATAGAAATGAAGACTTCCCAATATGATTTTCTGCCAGAGTGCTTAAGGAACTTAAAGGATTATCATATATATAGTATAGAATAGGGAAAGCAAAAAGGAGCCAAGCATGCTATCTTCCAATACACACCAACCATTTTTCATAGGACCTATTACCAATCTACCCTTATAAATCTCAAAATTCTTTTCAACACATAGATCTAAGCAACTGCCAATTGTTCAGTGTTGATTTTTAAGTTCAACCTCATCTGCATTCTCTAGCTTAGAGGTCAAAATTCATAAGACTTTGGAATTTTTAAGGTCTGGGTTTGAATCCAGCAATCTGATTCTGCCATTTATTAGCTGTGATCCTGAACCTCAGTTTTCTAATCTAATGAAGAGAATAACTATAAAGAACTGGTCATAAAAATTACATAAATATACAGAAATACAACTAATGAAGTCCTTAGCCCAGTACTTG